TTTTTTCTTCGTTTTAATATAATAAATATGAATATTTGGTTGATTAAAACGAAGAAAAAAAAACAAAGAAAAAGAAATATATTTATGTTTATACTGGAGGCCCATAGAGAGCCAGCTGACGATACAAACTAAACTTTCTTTTGCAGCATTTTATAGGTTTATATTAATATTATATTATTTTTATATTTCATAATATTATTATTATATTTATAAAATATAAATAAAATAATATTTATATTTCTGTTATATTTTCTAGGTAGACTCAAACTGAAGACACAACAGAAAAGAAGAAATTCAGTTTGTGCAGAAAAGAGACGAGAAGCTGGCGTACGAGTATCTTCCTAGGTAATTATATATCACTAAAAAATATAAAAAAAAAATAATAAATAATATTATTTTACTATTATTTAATATTTTAATTGTAGTTTATACTAGTTGTGCATACACCGCAGAGAACATAAGTAAGCCAGTTCAAATACCTAGTTGCAGAAAGCAGCGGTTCAGGTTCCTGCTGTAAGCACCAGGATACTAACACACCGGGAATCCACGAAAAACCCGAAAAATATATTAATTAAAATTAAATAACAAAGAAAACAAAAAGATAAACAATACAGACAAATCAATGCTAGCGAAAATTCAGAATGTTTCCGTCGAGTTTCCTCTTGGCTAGGCTGGCTGCGACGGGGGGGGGCCCCCTGATCGGAGTATAGGGGGCCCCTTCTATGTACCCTAAGGAGTTTTTGGAGAAGAATAAAGTGTAAAAAGGTATTTATTTTCTACTAAGACTCAAAATAAAACTCGTTTTTATATATTTATTCATGAAATGCAGTTTTACAGCGCAGGCACAACGGTTCCCGTAGACCGGTCCGGTGTGTGGTGAGGAAGAATGAAAGCATATACTGAGCGATAACCGCGGTAAAACTTGAAAATTCATGAATTAAATTCTTTTTTTTATTTGAATTTAAATATAATTTGAGGGATGTCGCCAGGATTTTGTTCTGAGTTTCAGCTGGGCTTGCAAACTATACTTGCAGCCGACGCAGATCGTGAGTGCGCGCAGTACATTTCCTCTGAAAAAAATTCAAATAAAAGTTTATTTGACTTTGTAAATATTTCTTCTGAACTTTCTCAAGCTTCTGGTTCCATCGATGGGAGCTCTTCTGCCTCTGTCTCGTTCTTCTCTTCTGCTTTCGTTTCAGAAGATGATCGCAGCAGCAACTTGAACACATCGCCGCCTGCAGCGCATGCATCTTCTCCTCCTTCTTTTGAGGGTTTCTCTGTGCCTTGTCGGAGTTTTGATGAAAGTATTAACGAAAATTTATTAAAAGAAGAGGCTCTAGACCCCCCGCACCGCCAAATTATTTCGCGTTTCTACCGCATCAAGGATATAACTCACCCGCATCTCTGCACATACACCAACATACTGCGTGCTCAGAATCGTATTTATATTGTTTCTGAACACTGGTCTCTTTCTCTTCAGGATATAATCGATGCATGGAATGATGAAAGTAGAAATGCAGCAACGGCCACACCACCGACAGCAGCAGAGAAAGCTGTAATATCTGCAGCGGGCGGCTCATCAGCAGAGCGCAGCTCTTCTTCTTTTTCTTTTTCTTCTTTTTCTTCTTTTCCTTGTTTAAAATGGGATATAGAGAAGTTGAAGTTTCTTTCTACTGTAACTACACAAACCCTCACAGCGTTAGCTTATCTGAATAGTTTAGGTTTCTATCACGGCCGCCTGCAGCCCAGCGCCATCCGTATCGATGCCCACGGCAACGTGCGTCTGAGTGAGTGGGGGCTTTCTTATATAACAGATGGGGGCCGTCTCTGTGCTTCTGCTGATATTCTTTCTCCTTTCTGCTTTCTAGCACCAGAGCAGGTACTGGCGGGGCCCCAGGTGCTGCAACACTCACCGCTCTGTACTAAGCATGATGTATGGGCCCTCGGCGCTATCCTCCTGCATATACTGCAGCCCCCCTGGCCTGTCTGGTCGGCTCCCCTTCACACTCACTCAGCCAGCAGCAGCAGCAGCAGCAACAGCAGCAGCAGCAGCAGCAGCAGTGGTGGTGGCTGCTACCGCTTGAAGAGCGATGGCAGCAGCACATATTCCGAGGAGGGCCCCCATGGTGTTCCCTGGTGGGGTGGTGCTGAGAGTGGGTCTTCTTGTTCTATGAATATAAACAGAGAAAAAGAAAAAGAAAAAGAAAAAGAAGAAAAAAAGAAAAAAGAAATAAATTTATTAGTTTCGGTTGAGGGGGATCTGAGAAACATAACCCAGTTGGTTTTGTTTAGTGCCCTTGCAATAGATTTTCATTTGCTGCTGCCGCTGCACCCAACAGCAGCAGAAGCAGCAGCAGCAGCAGCAGCAGAAGCAGCAGCAGGAGCAGCAGCAGGAGCAGCAGCAGGAGCAGCAGCAGCAGCAGCAGCAGAAACAAAACAGCAACTCATAGCACCATCAGTCTCTGCTGTCGGTACAGAGCTCTCCCGCTGGCTGCTGCAGCGCAAGCCGCTGCTTCTCTCTCTGATGCAGAAAGCTGTTGGCTCCCCTTGCTTCATGATTCCTCCCCGTACATACACCGCAGCACTAGCAGCTGCAGCTGCAGCAGAAGCTGCTGCTGCAGCTGCTGCAGCAGCTGCAGCAGCAGGAGCAGCAGCAGAAGAGCAGAAGGAGAATAACGCCTCAGAAGAAGCTGCAGCAGCTGCTGCTGACCCGCATCAAGGCGCCACCGGGGTCTCTCCCGCAGCAGCAGCAGCAGCAGCAGCAGCAGCAACAGCAGCAGCAGCAGCAGCAGAAGCACAATCTACAGGATCTCTCAAGGAGACAGAAGAGCTGCTGCTGCAGCGGTGTATAGAAGGGCTGACGCAGTGGCTCTCTGGGGCGGATCTCTGTCGCCATCCACACTTTTACTATGGGACGCTATCCTTGCAGCAGCAGCAGCAGCAGCAACAGCAGCAACAGCAGCAGCAGCAGCAGCAGCAAACAGGGACAGAAGAGGCAGCAGCAGCAGCGGCAGCAGCAACAGGATCAGAAGGAGCAGCAAAAGGAGCAGTTTCAAGTGCAAGTGCAGAAGCAGCAGAAGTACCAACAGAAGCAGCAGCAACAGCAGCAGCAGCAGCAGCAACAGCAGCAGCAGCAGAAGGCTGCAGCGGCGCTGCTGCATCTTCTAGCTCTGATTTGTGTGTTTTTATAAAGGCCATGGAGGAGCTGCAGCAGCTGCTGCGTTGCTGCTTAACTCTACACCCATCAAGCAGGCCAGCAGCAGCAGAGCTGCTGTCGCTGCAGTGGCTGCAGC